TAAACATTTTAGTGCATGCTTCACGTTACGTTCTCCACTGCATTCTCCAAGATTCCCACTGGTTCTGATTGACCCGTTAAACACACACATATCGTCTGAGTGGCATGTGCCACTCAATAATCTATTAACTTAGCGACTTGTGTATGCATAAATGTCCTTGAACGAATACTGGAAAAGTTTTTTTAGAGTAGCAAGCTTGGACTAGCGCATTCGATTGTTCAGAGGCACCCGGCACTCTTGATGGTCTTCGGTGTGAGTTTCACTCCTTGGGAGAACGTTAATGCTTCACAACTTCATGCAATGGAAATGTTTGTGATAACCGACAAAGAGCGCTGGTTAGCTCTTTTGTTCTGTTTTTTTTTAAAAAAGACTCATCAGCAGTGCGGACATCTTTTGTGTCCGGGTTGGGACTTCAACCCCCTAATTCTGAGCTACACGATTGACGGTTATCACCTTGCTCAATCAATTTAGTCAATGAATGTTTCGATTAGCCCATTCGATTGTGTTTCCATTCTCCTTGTATCATTCTATTTTGTTCTTTTAGGCTGATAGGAACTTTTATTAATTTGCATATGCCTAACACTGGTCGGACTATCGAACTGTATGCTAAGTAGATCGTTATGCGGTTAAATATTAAGAGCTACTCGGACAGAGTAGTTGGGATAAAGTACGGGTTAAAATGAGACATCTAATGATTCGGTATTCTTGTATATGTCTTTACGCATAAAGTTCAGTCATATACATACAGAAAACGGTATTCGCGAAAAAAACTTCTTTTCGATATATCGAATCAGGCGTATACATATATAAGGTGATCATAGCACAGATATCTGATTGGCCGATTAGAGCTCAGTCAGTAATGATGCCAGAGGCGAGTAAACTGATCAAACGAATATGACAAGGCTGCAGTGATAGTCGTGGATGGGGAGTGGGTGAGGACACAAAGGCCAAATGGACAAACGTTCGAGAGATGAGCAGATTAAATGAAGGTTGTGAGCTAAAACAAGAGAGCGGGATGAAGTTACGTAATTTGCGGTAGAAACTATAGGTCATGCATAGCAAGTGATGTAATCAGGAAGGGACATTAGAAACAAAAAAACAAGATAATTAGTTCTTAAGATTGAGATTGATGATACTATAGAGGAGGAAAGAGGGTTGGGGAGGCGCGGATCGATGCTCTGTTTTATTCATAATCAATCCGCTGTCCAGATAGGATAGAAGAAAAGCGATGCGAGAGTAAATCGTTCAATGTATACCCTTATAAAGAAAAACATTATTATGTTCAAATCGGACGGGAAACCAGAAAACTAGAAGCAATTATGGTATAGACAGCTCAAAATGAGTAACTGAATGCGAGCGGTTCAATCCAAGGTAAGCTTGAATGTATTGTTAATCGGTTTGGACACCCGGGTTTGCTGTATGAGAATGAGGCTTCCATAAGGAGGGCAAATCGAGATTACCTAGCGTGACAGAATACTCATCGCCTGGGTGAACCTAGTAGTTGCTTTCAAACAGGTGGCAATTGATCACTGATATACCGGTATATGAGTCACGTTTACACTCCGGCGGGTAGATCGAAACAAATTTGATCACCTTATTTGGCATGTATTGAAACAGTAACGTATGTCTATCCTTTTCTGCGCAACTTCAACAGAACGCATAGATGCGGCGAGAGATGGAATTCACGGAAATGCGGTTTTCGAATGTTGGTATCGAGATATGTGTGTTTGTGGTCTGATCGAGACTCATTCTCGCAGCGCACATAGTTCATCCAAAATCGCTTTTTTGAGGCGTTGAACTGTCCGCTGAATAAATTCGATTCCATTTTATGTATGCTACACAAATGAGTAGACGTTTGCTATCCGGATGTTATAACTGCCAGACTGATTTGGATGCGTGGCAAGATTTTCTCCAACATGTTGTCCTTCATCCGGTCGGTTTACGTTTATCACTGGGTTCCGATATTTTACGCGTGTTTTGTGAAAATACAATTTTGTGAACTTCACTCTTCACGACGATCTCACACTCTTTTCTGTCCAGGTTTACCTCCTGAACTCGGTACCAAATTAATCGATTGTTTGAAAGCGAAACGGAATCGTATTTCTTCCACGGATTTTGAACCTGGTGAAAAGTTCTGTTTGGAATTACTTCAACCACTCTGGATTGACTATTTGAAATATGATATATTTTTACTCAATCGGTGAGTTCTCACATCTTTGTTCAGTGACAAACATATCTAGTGCACAGTGCAATCTCTGTTTCCTTCTAACCACGAGCAAGTGAAGGCATTTTGAATGAACTCATGTATGGTGCTTTCAGAACATATTTGCTCCAATAGATGCGCCTAAATGGTATTGAGACAGTTTACACATGAAGCATATTCAGATACAAAATCAAATTTTTATTATGGGCAATACTTACAAGCATTTCCTTGCTAGTCCCATACAGCTTCTCGTACAAATGGGTCGATTTGCGGATTGTAGAGAGAGAGAGAGAGAGAGAGATAAGGAATGTCACAAATGTTCTTTGTTCTCTGTACTGCTACGGATGTCGAAAAGCGAGACTTCTCAATGTTCCATCCGATTTGTACTTGAAAGAATCAAGTACCGGTGCACAAAAACAACCGTTGAAATAGTGTAGTTTCAACCTTGCTAAATACTCGCTTCAGTAAACCATGTTTGGCAACGGTAGACGACACTCTGGAGCAGTTTAAAGAACAATTTGAATCGTCTTGAACAATGGCACTGAGATTCTTCTCATTCGAGAGATACGGAAGTTGTTGATCTCGCAGGATGTACGGAAATCGATATTTGTGACGGAGGAATACGATCGTACATTTTGATGCGTTAAATTCGTTGTCAATTTCGACAGGACATTGATAAGCATCACATATTGAAGCAAATTCTAGTACATGTCTACATTCCTTAGTGTTTATTTGAATAATATTCTCATTCAGAATACCTTCTTCATTGTTAACATTATTAAAATACAGAACTCCATGGGCATTCCATTCAGTCACGTAATTTTATATCTTATAGGGCTCTCTCTCGACACACGGATGAACTGCCACCGGCCGATTCACCGGACGACTTTGAAGTTCTCATGGTCAATGGTCATGTGACGGTTAGGCAAATTCCCCCGGCCCGGTAAGTGGCTTGCGAATGAACGTCATTGGTTAGTCGATTGTATCATGATGAATAAACGATCGCTGTTCTCCCACCAAAGATATACACTGTGAGTCATGTCGGATATGCGAGTTTGATCGTGATGCACCTGGTAATCTTCAAGATGGATAGGCTTGGTATCCATTTTTTCTTGTTAGTTAAACTCTATTCTCGGACTGGGCTTGTATTATATGATGCCAGCATTTAGGAACTACATCCGGTTATCTGTAAAAGGTTTAACAGCTCTGACACCATCATCATCATCATCATCGTCACTATCGTACTGCGTAATACAGCGAAGCTCTGGCAGGGCGGTATGAGAACCTTGTGCAGGGGGGTTTTCGGGTAGATCCTGTTTAGGTTTCCTGTTCGGGGACCTAGGGATCAGGCTAGTCAATGGGTAGGTGCAGGGGTTGCCTTAAACTGCAGCTAGTCACCATCCATGAACATCTGGTGTATCGGTACTCGGCATCTCGGTGGTGCTGGTGGTGATGGTAGTGGTGGTGGTGGTGGTGGTGGGGTTACTACTCACTCCTTTCTTCATCCATTGAACTATTGACTACTGCAATAAAAGGCAACTGAAATCAGCACACCAACATGCAAGCTTAGTGGCTGTTAAATGTGATGTGAATGATTAATTGGTTTGCGGTCAGTTAGAGACTGAAGACAAAAAGTGAAATATCGTGGTAACATTTGGATTCACTTTGAAAGCTGTTTATGAGTGCATGGTGTGTGTGCGTATTGTATTTCACGCACGTCTGAACCCAGACTGTGTCAAACGAGCCGTAGTAAAATAATCTTCATGAAAAGAGAAAGCTTCATGATATACATGTGGACAGAATGCTGCCAGATTGCCCCGGTCAATGCAGGTGAATTTTCTTGGGGAACTCAAAACCGGAGCCTTTGACTAGCCAAAGCCTGATCCGCAATGCAGCGGAGTGATGTAGAAACTCCAATCCATTGCAGGCCGATGTCCAGTTCATCGGATCATACGCTTTTTGGTAAATGAAACGTCCAAGGCACCCAATATACCTTGAAGCTCAATTAAACCGGTGATCTCTGCCACAACCAGGAAGCTGTAGGTNGTAGGTGGGTGTGGTTCGTACACCTCCTTTTGGTTGATTTTAAATTAAGAATTTTAGCCTACTCCCCTAGGTGAATTGCCAGTGTTTCACCGACTCGGTTATAGCCCCGGATGTCGGCTTTTCGTGCTCTCACTTTGGTGAGAAAACACCTGTCACAAGACCTCCTCAGCAGAATTGGTTATTTGAGACGCTGAGTATTTCACGGGATGAACGGGAAGGGTGACCATTCGTAACGCGAGACACCCACTGCAGACCATACACAGAGGCTTTCGGAAGTGTAAAATTACTTCAATGAAACGAATTCCCTTCATGAGTGGCATGTTTGTAATAAATCATTTGGGCTACCTCATTATATTTCACTAGAACTTGGACTAGAAGATAGGCGATTGGTCGCACAGTCGACCCGGCTACACACACCTAGCTCACAAGATGTTTAGTTCGAAGTTGGTTAGACTCACACTGCAGAACAAATAACCAATCTTATTGGTTTGAACTAGCCTGGCCCCAAATCTTTGATGGCTTAGCAGTGGTTGAAATCTGACCGATCGAGGAAACCCCCTCAATATTGAGCGAATCAGCAAGCCAACTATTACACCACTGTAAGATTGCTATGGTAAATGCGTAGGTAAACATAACACGATTCGGCAGAACGTTATTTCGGTTTTATCGCAACAATCAACGACAATAAAAGTCGAATGAATCCGGAACTGAAAGTTATTTATCCAAGTTTGCAATTCTGTTTTTCTTTTTCGAAAGCAAAATCGAGAAATCAGACTTTGGATATTGATCATATTTGTCTGTTTCGCTGAAAATCCAACATCAAGTAGGATGTGAATATTTATTTTGTCTCCACACGTTCTCACGGATCGATCAATTCTAACAACGGGTGAATCATCATGGAAGTGAACAATCAACTTTGGTTTACCTGTTTCTTGTTTTACTGCATTTAGATTAAAAAGTATTATATCATATTTATTGCACTCTATGATTATAATAATAATAGTAATAATAATAAAGTAATAAGAATAGATATAATTTTGTTTGATAAGCTCAACTTCTCATTAATTGCTTTTATATATATCTCATTTTACTTCGTTTTATTGAATATACAAAGATACGATTTTCGGGTGGATTGTCATAGAACCCATAACGGATCAAGTCAGGCGGTGATGGTGGGATTCAAATACACGTCCTCCGGGGTGATAATTTGGTGACATTACCAGCGGGGCATCAGATGAAGATGAATAAATAATATCATAATCTTAAACAGCCCCTAAATACACAACTAAATCCTTTGATATGCATGATTCCCTTTGCACGGTAGAGGACAAATTGATGGCATTGCTTAGCCCTGTTACTTTTAAATTAGGACCACTCGAAATTATACATTCATTTACTCTGTTGTCGGTCTTTGTGTGCACCCAATGAGATACCATCGTTTCAGTCCGAATATGAAACGTATGATGCGATTTCACTGTCATCTTAACTGATGGATATCCAAAGTGCGATTGACCATAATAGAATGAAAAAGCAACATGATCCACGACACTGGATCGAATTATCGGTTCACCAAGAGCGTTCTGAAGCGCATGCTTTCTAAGGCATAGCTCTCACAAACTGTCGCGTTTTCATTTTCTGTGAAGATTAACACTGTTACGCTTGTGGTAAGCGGCTTTTGGTTCTTCAAGTACACATGTTCTGCGACAAATAATTTACTAGGAAATGGAATATGTCGTTTTGACTGGATACAAATGTTGATCGATCCACAAACTGTCCCTCGTTTCCCTTCGGCACAGACCAATCGAGTTGCAAGGACACGAGCTAAAATTGTCCAAAGAAGAACGCGAGTATCGTATTCTCATGGCTTTAGAACGGCGTCGAATGATGGAACGCGAACGGAAACGGGCACTGAAAGCGGTTGAACGACGACAAAAAGAAGAAAAGGTGAGTAAGTCTGTCTCTCTCTCTCTCTCCACCTCGCCCCCTCCCTTCCCTCGATAGTCCCAAATCACTTGATCACTTTGATTCGGTCTGTTCAATCATTTAAAAGTGTGTTTCCTCATTTTTAATGATCCCTAAACTCCATTCATCGATTGATCCTTCTAAGAGAATAGAAATCTACAAACATCCGGAAAACATACTTGCTATCTTTTCTACCCAACCATTTTCGCAAAAAACCGTGAACCAATCGATTAGAAAAATATCTCATCTTTGGACGAAATTCAAGGGATTATTTTGTCTCCATACATACATTAACAGCGCTCCGCTCGTTTCTCCGGCAAATGTTTTCAAATGGGCCAGTCAATGGGACTGCATTGCATTAACCTAGTTGCATCCATTTACCAGCCTCGTTCATCCACAAATTGAGCTTTCTGCCTTGCAATCTGATCTGAGATTAAGTCCAGTTGGTTGAGTTGAATATGCAAACAGTTGTTTTCATTCTTCTGATCGCAACCCTATCGAACAGTTTGAAATCACTCGAGACTAGAATCATTTTGGGTCAGTTCACAGTCACCAGTGAAATGATTCCTCATTCAAATTCGCATGATGAATTCGCATTTCACTTTTATATTCCAGTGATGCCCCTTCACCACACGCGCAGCATACACATACACACACATGTTAGTTTTTTTCCTCTCCAGTTGATTTTCCCGGATTAAGTGAGAACGATTTTAAAGTTTTACCACATAGTCTTTTGAGTACATATTACTCGCGTTGCGTCAAATTCTATGAATAAATTATTATCACTTCCAGACTAAAGACTAAAAGATTCCTGTGTCAAGTTTGTGCACACGGTTTTATTTGGATTTAGACGCTAAATTTTTGGATTAGCCAATTTCGTACTGTTGGTGATCTTGTGTATGAGGTTCACTCCTTGAAAAATCGTTAATTGCCCCCCCCCCTCCCACAAGGTAAATACATTAAAATACTTTTAAATGTTTATTTCCTGTTTGGGACTCGTAGGTAGTGCGTATTTTCTTTCATCATGAACATTTCCATCGTATATAAAATTCATTTACCTCGTGGGAGGAATGAACTATCTCTCAACGAGTGAAACTCACACCCCTGATCATCACCAGTGTCTGGTGCCTGTGAAAAACAATTTAACGGGTTACACCAAACATTCACCGTCTAAATTGATTGGGCCATTCACACAAGATGATAACCGTCGACCGTGTAGCTCCGGGGTAAGGATTGGAAGTCCCGACTCGAATGCTCGCGATTCAAATCCTAAGAGGGACACAAAATGTACGCATTCCTATCGAGTCCCAAACAGAACGATACAGCTATCCGGTTATCTTTGGATGCTGTTTATCTTTTACTCATTGGATTACCATATTGTGTTCTGATCCNTCCCCCCCCCCCCACACACACACTCGTCATCGGATATCCGATACAGTCCATCTCGTATGAAAGCATATGTGAATGAATTCCTTTGTGCTTTAATTTATCGCATACAGTCTTCAACAGATAAGATCCACCAGAGCTGTTGTGCAACCATGTGTTACACGCAATTCCAAACAGTACAATAAGCTAATTTGTTAGTTGACCTTACATGTCTGAACCACACTGCATTCTGCATCTGGTGCGGGAGCTTTTATGTATGTAGTATAGTGCAGGTAAGCCATCCGATTTGATACTCTGTATGTATTGGGATCCCTGGAAAACGATGTGGACAATCTGTCCGAAACGTGGATTGAATATCCGAACAATCTGCTCCTTATTCAGATCGGTCAATAAGTGGAGATGGTGTTTCCCCCGTTGGTGTAGCCAGTGAGATCATACTTAGGGAATGTGACCCGCACTAAGTACATTTCAATTACACTTGATAGTAATTTGTGTATACTGTGTACTGTCCTGATTAGTTCAGCAATATTTGTCTAGTTTTGTTGTTTCTCTTACCCCCGGCCCCATTTGAATAAGATGTACAACCCATTAAACAGATTTATGGGTGGTGGTGGTGGTAGTGGTGGTGGTGGTGATGCAGTAGTTTTCATCGGCATGCCCTTGACCCCATGGTCTGAGGTTCAAACCCCGCTACCGCCACCCAACTTCATTGATAGACTGCTTGCTGCCCTGTCAGCCCGTTTAATACCATGCCTAGCTTAGAGACGGGGCCTTAAGTGGTTCACCACTCGAGGTCCCAAGTTTTAGATTGTCCGTCTCCGTCCGCTGTTCATCACACAAGTATGTGCAATAAAAACAGGATCATTCATCGACAAGACTCGGGGTTGGGGGAGATTCCAGGAGGTTCTCCTCCAGTGGACTCACCACACGATCATCGGTCAACATTACAACCAGAAAAAAAAATTGCACGCACAATACGAACAGACAAAACAATTTTTGGTAGATTGTGGGCTTTTTCAAATCCAAATCGCGGATGAAGTCATTAGGATATACCAAAGTTCACACAAGAAACATAACACGCTATTCGTGGGATGAATATCCTCTGATCTGGTGCCATCGAGGTCGGTTTGATACGAGATATTGCTGACCCATTAAGGCATCCTCTAATAGAAGGGTTGACTCGGAAGCGGGGCGATGACAGCCTTCGGCTGGATTATCTTATCCACATAGACAGGGATTTCGTGCCGGTGAGCAGCGTATGCCATCATTCTGAGTTGAATAATTTGCCGTAGAGTTTAATGCAGAAGCTGTGCACGGACTGTAGGCATCGCTCCAGAGTCCGTAAAATCTCAACGGATACCGAAATGGCAGAATTGGTGATAATCTAGATGACGGTATAGAAACAGCAGTCCGGATTACGATCAGGTTTCAGTTGTATTGGGCAGATATTCCGCATGCATCAAGTATCCGAATTATACTGCACTAATCGAAACCCTATTCCTTTGATTGAAAATGGTAATTGGTAATCGTGATCACTTCCCGTAAACCCCAATTTCGATTTATTTCTTTTTGTGCTTTCATAGAGCAAACCTGCCGTCGGAATGATTAAAATTGAACGAGTGAGTTGCTATTCCCATATTGTATTATATTTTATTGTATTATAGATGACTTGTGCAGGCAACTGTGCCTGCATTTCAGTCAAAAATGTGTTCACCGTCACAGTGGGGTCATTGAGTATCTTATGAGCGAAATTCGTACCTGAAGTGATATGGAAACTACACGATTTTGTGATCAGATCGTTTAAAGGAATAGGAGAAACGCGGCTGATAATTACTTATCCTCGATGCATAGTAACGAAATCCTTTTTAAGTAGTTCAGGAAAATTAGCAGGCGAACAATAATGTATGATAAGAAAAAAGTATTCATGAACAAAGAAGCATACAATTTCATGCCTCATTCGAAATTGTTGTAGCTTGTCTATTTGAAAAGACAGGACAAGATATCAATAAAACATCATTCCTATTTCGAATTTCAACTCTTGGGCACTGGCTTTCTGCTCTTTCTGCTCCGACCATAAAACAATTCTTCTTCTTACATCCAGTTCCCGTCAAGGAATTTCACACGAGAGCGAGAGTAACCATCACAGAAAACCGGGTTGAATCGAACTGTTTCGCGTTATCTCTTCAGCTGTGTGCACAAAATTTCACCTGTGAACGTTTGCTCGCCGTATACTGGATTGCAAAATATGCTTCGATCTGAACTAAGCTGTCCGATTTAGGCTAACAAAACCCTGGACGATTGCCACGGTTTGCAGATGCCGTAGTCAAAGTCAAAGTTTTATTATGGGAATAACTTACAAGTTCATACGTCTGCTGTCCCCATAGGATACTTACACAATTTAACCGTTTCACGGTGGAAAAAATCACATATAGCTCCAGGTAGAAAATAAAAGATAATGTAGTCTTCAACAAATTTGCATTTGTTAGTTGTAAAGGAATGTGAGGTGTATCACGGTTTCATCGAGTCTCCGCTGGAAATATTCAAACGTTGGTGCACAAACGACGTGAGATGCGAGGACGTTCCAAGTACTGTATACTCTGCCTGCAAAGGATTGGCGCCGGCATTCTCACCGACACTTTGGCACCAGCAACTTGAAACGGTGTCCCCTAAGGTGTACATTGTTCGATAGCATGAGAAGCGATCGACACGGATGGTTTGGGTTCTGCAGTATTTGATACGTCAAAATCTAGTCTTCCCGAGTTCGGCGGTACTGAGCAGAATATAGTCTCAATGATCGTAATCTCTCCTCATAGATGAAGAATTGCGATCCTTTGACCATCTTGGCGGCCATCCCTTGTGGGTGCTGAAGCATCTTGCGACCACGTTTCAACCATGGCCCCCAAGCTTGAATTGCGTATTGTGTGCATGGTCGAATGTGCACTGATAGCAAACGTGAGAACAGTGCTGATTTAAATCGACCAGACTGGCCTCAGCAAGCCAACATTATTCACAGCAGCGAACGAAGCCTTAACACATTTGATCGAGCAGGTTAAATCCTCCGGAACAACTCTATCCAAGTCTTTTCACCTGAAGTATATGGTAGCTGCTGGTTCTCGAGCAAATACAAGAATCTTCTATTGCGGTGTGGGAATAAGACTTTGCATTTAGAAACATTGAATTCATTGTCGTTTTCCTTAAACCACTGATGAACTGCGTTAACTGATTCCTGAAATGTTAGAGAATCATGCGGCTTCACAAACTAAACCTCTGCAAAACACCGGACTTGTGCTCGGTTAAACCCTGTCATGGTAGTGTTACCACCGTGAATTTGCCGTGTGAACTGAAAAGCTAGGAAGCACTGTACAGCCGTTTCGACCGGGTTGGGTCTGATCCGTGCAATGAGCGACCCAACTGGGGATCGCGAACCCGGGATTTCATCACAGGTAGAACGTAAGCATGCTACTCACTCGGCCACCGGGCAGCTGATCAAACCGTTGTTTTATTTTCCATTTCCGTGATATAACACAACCCATGATTGCGAGCTGGTTGCGGACCTCACCCATCTCAGCACTAGCTAGCCTCCCGCGGGTTATGACTCCGTTGGAAACATTCGCAACCTGATCAGTAGCCTGTCAGTTCACGCTCAATTTGCTATATACACGAAGAATTTATCTTGAAAACAGTTGTAGGAGCCAGTAACACGCCCATCGATGGATGAGAAAGAAAATAGTGTGGTCTGATGGTTTGATGAAGCATGAATCGATTGCTCTCCTCGTTCGGTTTGCGAAATGGTCCCCCGCCCCAAAAAAAAATAAATGAATTCAAATACTGATTCCATTGACAATAGATCAAGTGAAATCTAGATTCACAAATATTTATCGATTACATGACAACGATTTTGACAGTCTGCAGTACCGTTATATAAGTGAATTGAGCTCCAAAATATCCAACTTGAGAAATAGTACTGATCGTCTATTTGAATAGGTAATCTTCGGTTCGCACTAGTTTTTCACCTTATCAGATACTTGAACACATTTTAACCACAAACCACCTGGCATGAATTATGAACTTGTTGGTCTGATCTCGTGAAATTCATATACTACTAGTAACACCACTACTGTTATAAATCAAGTGTTTTACAACAATTCCATTCAGCACATCTCTTGTATATTCCTAACATTGAATCTCGTAAATCGATTTTGATCATTCTAACATGATTCGTTGTTACATCACATGGTTGATGCTTGCTTGATCCTGAGCTATGATTTGTTTCTGCATGATAGACCAAATCGTCCGAAAGCAATTTTGACCAGTCCGATTATTTTTCAAAACGCTTAAACACTATCCAACCCTTCCCCCCTGTCCCGTATTCGAACTTTGTCATGCATGTCCGTACGCGCTCACCACGATCCCGCTCACCTTGCTCTCGATCCAGACAACCATTGTTCAACGTCCGGACAAGGAAGCTATCAAGATGGAAGGCGAGACAGAATCTGTCCAATTGCCCGAACGACGTCCATCTCAACAGATGTTACGGTTGAAAACATTTTTGACCAATAAATTGTGAGTACCGTGAACGTGGGGTTTATTTATTTATTTATTTATTTTTCTCCGTTAGTAATTTTTCCTTTTTTTTGTTTCTGTTCCAACAGCCGTGTATGACTTGGGTTGTAGAGGTTTGTGCGCAATGCAACTTGTATGATAATTATATTTTAGTCTAGGGTAGCTGTACCGGGATTGAGAAGCCCGATGATAGAATGACCTGCAGATATCAAATCCCGAATTCGTGGTAGAACATGGAAATCTGCGTGAACTGTTGCATACATCAAAATTAGAGACAATCCGGTCTGGACAAAACAATCGATTCGACATGACAGGAGCAAACGTGCCAGGAAAACACTCTGTTTGAAATCGGAGAAGGAATACGATGTGGATACAGCGACAGTGCTAGTTGAAGGGCGGTGAGGATCAATCACAAGGGGATGGGGATAGGCAAAAGGATACCGAAATTGCGTGGGGAGGCGACAATTGTAAGTAAGTGAGAGCATAGACAACGGACACGAGGAAGGTGTCTGGGTTGGTTAAGCACACAAGGCGGTTGGTAGCATATGGGTCAAGATAGAACTGTTTGCGAGAAACGCATGAACAGTAACAACAGTGAAGACGGTGGGATAATCATGGTGGGCGGGTGATGAACAGGTGACCACAAATAATACGAGACAGTTTCTATGCCTGGTCGAGATAATTGATAAAGATACTGGGTTGAGCGCAGAACAAGTGATGACAGTTACTATGACACCGTTTCCATGCGGGGTGGAGATAATAGATCACGGTAACATATTGGACGAAAAACGCGTCATAACAATTTACACGAAAATTGCTATGTGGGGCGGTTAGGTAATCATAGGGGAAATACGGAAAAGAAAGCAAACTGATTGATCATGGAGGGGGGGGGGATGTAGCAAGTTCCGATCCGGCGGGCAAAGATAATCATCAAACTGGGAGATGGTTAGAAACGCACATAAATTGATGGCTTTTGAACAGGTTACAGGTAGGTCTGGTGTACGTAATTTCAATCGCACAATAAAGCACCTTACAGTAAACAAACAAACAGAATCATCAGAATGATACAATGAGAGTAAAACAGATTGTGAAACAGAGACCCTTCTTGTTTCAAAGTTTGTTCTCGGCAGATTGGTTTGGCAATCAGTCTGTAATCAGACACGTGTGAAATACAATACCACACACATAGGAAGTTTATCTCCCTGTCTCTATCTCTAGGTTTCTAACTTTGAAAGCGATTGAGGATATTTGGACCTCACTTTTTCCATGGATTGTTCTATACATGAGAGGTCTTCCTCTGACGATTACATTCCACACATCTTAATTTAATAACCTAATCTCTTCAGATATTTTTACGGTTCAGTGCAGTTCACAACAACTGTGTACAAGGGCTAAGCAAAACGTTTCCGGATGCACAACGCGTTTTTACACTAAAATAAGCATTTTCGTTGAAGTACTGTCCACCAGCGTTCATGTACACCCAACTCCATGCGCTCAAACCATTTGGTGAAATAGCTCTACCATACCGAAGCGGTTAACCCCTTGACCAGTTCAATGAAGGCCTCCACCGCAGCTGTTTGGGACTCGTATCGAATTCCACGCTTCATGCGCTTGATATTTGAGAACATCAAAAAAAGTCACACGGAGTTAGGTCTGGACTGTAGGGTGGGTGACCAACCTCCTGGATGCGTTCTCTAACCAGAGAGTCACGGATCACATGCGATCACTGTACATGTGGGTTTTCATGATGTATTAAGTTCCCTAGTGCTTGAGTCATTGGACGACGCCTAGCAACAGCTTCCATCACTTTTGACAGACAGTGTGTGTTTGTGCACCGTAGATTACAGACCACGTTTTATTTACCCGATCATCTACACCTCGTACTGGTGTACCGGTTATCCGGAAACTTTTCGCGCAGCTCTCGTATGTTACGACACAAGCGATGAGCAGACATTCTTCAGACGCGTTCCGGATATCACAAACAGTGTGTGGTGGCAAGAGGACAATTTCGACGAGAGAGAGCTAGTTGCACCTAAAATCTGCCCTAGTGTTGGATCTCAGCTCACGATATGCTCCAACCAAACAAGATCACTTCATGCACTACTTCGAAACCGTTAGTGAATAATGCTGGAGTCCTTCAGGGTTCTGTGCTCTCTCCCTACCTATTTTTAACTTTTATCAGTAACTTACCGTCAATTTCACTAGCCAAAACCTTCAAGTATGCCGATGATGCAGTCGTATATCAGGCCATCTTAAACCATTTGGACAGAGAATCATTTTCCGACAATTTGTTGCAAGTGCAATCAGTTTCGAACCAATCTAGTGTCCGAATGAATACATCTAAATGCTTTGAATGCATTTTTAGTCTTTCCCGATCCGAATACCCCCTGGATCCCTCAGTCATCAGTTCCTTATCCATCACCAGAACACACTATGAAATACCTAGGAATTACCATAGATAGCAATCCACAGTACTACTCTCATGTGCTTGCTTGTGTTGGTAGACTGCGTCGCTTATCTTTTCAAATAACCAAGCTACGACAAATTCGCGTCAGATATGAAACTATGTGTTCGTTTGTTTATCAATGCATTTTTCCTATCTTATTTTATTGTTTGCCCGTTATTTTCCCCGATCTACTGCGAAAAGACTTCATTACTCTACGTCGCGGTTTATTGATCACTAGCTGTGTTTCTCTTATTTTTTTAAACACGCTGATCTCAAAATTATGTAATTTGCATGTCACTTCATGTGAGAACCTCGATCAAAAGATACTCAATGACCCCAATCATTCACTCAATCCCGATTTATCTGCTTGTCGTTCCCAAGCTACAACCCAATCTGATTTTCGCTATTTACCATTCCACTTAAAATTTTATCGAAACTCAACAGTTCCCTATCTGGTTCATATTCTCATTGACACAGTGAAGATTCGTAACGAACTAATTTTAAACTAACAACTTACACTTATTTAAGTTTTATCATTGTTATATATTATCTTTAGTTCGTTTTTTATCCCACTGTAACGATGAACACATTTTTGACTGAAATGTGGGCACAGTTGCCTGCACAAGTCATCTATAATACAATAAAATACAATACAATTATTTGATTCCACTCTCTACTTTAGAGAGTGAGGCTCGTGATTTGTCTGAGTCGATGTCTACATCTAACTAGAGTAATTCGTGCAAACTTCCCCTACTCTCTTACGCATCTGCTCATCTATATTTTCACCCCACCCCCGGGGGAGTAGTTCAACTGTCAATCCTCACAAACTACTTTCAATTCACTGTTGAACAGTTTAATGTCAATGAACGCACGCAGTGCAGTTTACTGGAGAGATGGATTAGCAGGACTAAGTCAATCGGCCCATGTGATAAGGGTCAGGAAAATCCCTCATGTTTTCACAACTCTTTAGACTATCTTCCACCGACTATTCCGTGGAAGATTCCATCACTTTTCTGATTGCCTCATTGAGACCAATTCATTAGTTTCCAATATCCCGGCCCATTCTCGATCCAAGTTCGACTAAACCAATCAGGATTTGGTGACCGGCACGGAGTCTAACGATTTCACCAAAAGGATTGTTTCATCGATTTAAACGAATGAGCAAACACAACTCGGATGTGCATTCACAGATGGCCTGTGGTTTCGTCCGCTGAATATGACGCTCGTTGGATTTCTTGATTTAATTTTTCTGATTAACTGCTCTGAAGCTTTGAGTGGATCAGATCTGCGCGCATCGTTTATTCGCACTGCGTCATACACTAGCCTGGACAAACAAAAGCTTCAAACGTTTCTACGAGCGAGTGGATCCGAGTGTATGCTATCCAAATAATATTGTTTAGATTTTCTAGTTTATTTGTATCAACCGAGCGTTATTTTTCTTCATTGCTTTGTTAATTAAGCCACCGATAAGAGTGATTTTGTGGAGCGACTGGTAGAAAATTTGCTATTAAATACATTTTTCTTCTCGGGATTTTCAGTAGTATAAACGAAAGCGAACCCGAGCGAGTTTCAGTTGCAATTGCGAATAAAAAGTTGGACGTTTTCAATCCGATATCATGAACCGGACTTCGGCTGAAACAAAATCCCTCTCGCCGAGGATTATTTCACCATGAGGTCTGTTGTTCATAGATTCACTATTGCTTGACATGAACAAGCATGCATGCATTAATAATATTAATAGAAAAGTGAAGGAATTTCAAATGACAGACCGTAGAGCATTCACACCATTGACTTCTATTTTGAGTTACATCTCTCCGTGTCTCTAAACAATGGTGATGCTCATCTTCTTGGCCGAAACATGGAGGACGGTCTGAACCAATCGAAACCACTGCCGAAGTTAACTTCTTCATACCGCTAATCCAGGTCAGGGTCTGACCGCTGTGCAAACAGAACACGGAAAGGCAGACGATGAGTGACTTAGAGCAATTATATCTTTCACAATCAATATCCAATACCAGATCATTATTCACCTGATTTTATCGCCAGATACGAGCGATGCTTTTAAGAGATCAGCGGTTCAACATTGCAAATCTTCGGGATTAACCAGGCACGCAACTGAGTGAATGATCATACCGTTGATCTCGTATATCTTTCGACTTGACAGAAGTGTCCGCTTAGTAATAGAAAACATTACTGTACGTTCCATAATTTGTGATCGGGTAATAGCACCATCCGCACCGCTTACTCGGTGCGCGTGACTTTATTCACTACACGCGTACGCATCGATCAGTCTCGAGTGTGCAGTGAGGATGGGTCCAGTGTCTGATATATGTATATATATATATATATATATAACGTGGTGAAACGTCCAAGGTGCCCAGTATACCTTGATGCTCATTTGAGCCGATGATCACTGCCAGAAACAGGAGGACGTGGGTTAGTGTGGTAAAAATGTCTCTTCTTGGTTGATTTCGGATCAGGATTTTTAGCCAACTCCCCTAAGTGAATTGCCAGCGTTTCATCGATCGGATTATAGCTCCGGATATTGGTTTTTCGTCCTCGTGCTATCGCAGGAAAACACCTCTGTCACGAGAAGGTAGCGTGTAGGACTTCCTCAGTAGGATTGGTTATTTGAGAGGCTTGGTCTTATGGGAACATTTCACGAGGTGCACCAGATGGGTGACCATCCACAACCCGAGACACCCACCCACCCGACCATAATGACGCTTTCGGAGGC